GTCTGGAGCACAGGTCTGATGGGGAGCGGCTGAGGGAAGTGGGGGGTTTAGTCTGGAGAAGAGGAGGCTGAGGGGAGACCTCATCGCCCTCTGCAGTTCCCTGAAAGGAGGGTGCAGAGAGGGGGGATGAGTCTCTTGAACCAAGGAACAAGTGACAGGACAAAAGGGAATGGCCTCAAGTTGCGCCAGGGCAGGGTTAGACTGGCTGTTAGGAAGCATTTCTTTGCAGAAGGGGTTGTTGGGCGTTGGAATGGGCTGCCCAGGGCAGGGGTGGAGTCCCCATCCCTGGAGGGGTTGAAGAGTCGGGTTGACCCAGCGCTGAGGGATCTGGTGGAGTTGAGAACGGTCAGTGTGAGGTTAATGGTTGGACTGGATGATCTTCAAGGTCTTTTCCAACCAAGATGATTCTGTGAAGAACACAATTTTACAAATTTTCTTTGCTGTGCATGCAGAAGGATGCCAGACATAACCGAAACTGTCAAATTCTCAAGTTTGTAATACTTCTACTTTTTGGAAAAGTATTTGTTTTGGAATTTTGAGGATTTTCTATAAAATAAAAAGGTTTATCCAGCTCCATCCTTAACTTAGCTTGGAGCCCTCAAAGAAAGCCCATTTATGCTTCCCACATACATCTGTCTGTAGATTTCCATATTTTATAATACCACACTTTTATTAATGTGGCTTTACACACAAATCCTGTTTCTGATTATGAGAACCATATATAGAGCTATAGTACCATGGAACATAGACTCTGTAGTGTTTTCACTATTGCTGTGTCAAAATAAAGCGAGAAGCCTAGTTATTTTTCATAAATTCAGACCTATAAATTATTCCCTCCTCTGCTTAAAGTGATAATGGCAAAATATAACTGTGAAGAAGGATATTAGTAAGTATATAATTAAAGTAACGAAATAAATGACTAGTAATTAAAATGACATGAAAAAAAAAAAACCCAAAACATTAGTGCTCCCTCTTTTAACTGGATAAGAAGTGTCACCCTGCTATTCCATACATTGCCCTATTTTTACATCATCCTAGAAAGGACATGCATTGAAGTAATTTTAATATTTGTCTCTGAATAAACCATTAATTTTGATAGGGAATTCTTCACCTGAATTAAGTCAGATGAGAAATTAATTTTCCCCTTTAGCAAATTAGGTTCCCTGGTATATATGTGATGATTTTTTGGGGGTGAAGTGCCGGGTTTTTTTTTTTCTCTGATTCACCAAGAGCTGAATGATTTTTGTTCATTTGGTTGAGTGTCTGACCAACATTCTTTCATTCTTTTCCTCTTTAATCAAAGTAAGAAAACTTCCACTTCTGTTCACTTAATAGCATTTCTTTTCATTCAGTCTTGAGCCTCCTTACTTCAGAGATCTTTTTTTAATGCTGAGAATTTCTTTTTAATCCTTTATTGTAAAAGGTGATCAAAGCATTTTTACAAAATGTGATTTTGTAATGTGCTCGCTGTATCCTTAAAGTTGAGTACAAGTGATATTGCAAAACTGTCCTTTTACAGGAAACTAAACCCATTTTTGTCAGATTCACTTAAATAATACTATTAAGCTGTATGTTACTTTGCTACTATACTACAATACTACTTTAAATTTATGATTTAGCTTTAGCATTTATAATTATGATTAGAATATCATCGTTCTGTAAATGCAGGAAAGAAAAGTGAGTCTGAATCTTAACTTTCCCTAACGTTTCTTCCAAAGTTCACAAACACTTACCTTCACTTCTTTCAGGTTCTTTGTTTATGCAAAGAAAATGATACCGAATCTCTTCTCTGTGTCTCTATGTACAGTACATGAAGCTGAAGCATGTTGATAAAGTGAATTTCAAAGACTGTACAGCTTCTTTTTGCTGCTGCTTCTGCTTAAGAGAGTTCCCATGCCACAAGCTCTTTTTAGTTTCTTTAAAAAAGCTTAATTAGTTGGCCCACTAAAATAGATTATCTGTTCTATAAACGTGCTCTGATAATTTTTTTAAAACTTTTTGCTCTTAAGGAAGGCAGTTGCAAAACTCTTAGTGAACACCTGTGAAAATTCTGTTCAACATATGTTCAAAACCAGCGTTTAGAAAGGATCTGAGGGCATATTTTCTTACTTTTCTTCATTCTTATTACTTTGCTGTCCTGTGGAGCACTACCTTCGAGAAAAGTGGTTTTTACTCGCAACATTCCCAATCTTCTCATTGCAATGTGAGCTGAAACAGAAAGCAGCTTACAGAAGTCATTACCCAGTGTGAAAAGGGAGATATAGAACAGAGCATTTTATAGTTGGGCTGGTGAGACAGTGCTACCTATTTTACAGACAGGTGAGCCGTTTTGGTCATTTTCCCAGTTTGAGTTAAAGAAAAACCACGTTACCTGTGAAAAGCAGACATCTGGCAATAATACTTAAGTGAGTTAATGAGGTTAACAATCTGAAAAACTTCTGAAATTTATATAGCTATTTCTACCTTTTCCCGAACAATAGTTTTGTAGTTTTGGGGTTTTTTTTTAATTTTTACTGTACATTTCGTGTGTGTGTGTGTGTGTGTGTGTGTGTGTATGTATATTTTAGCCAGAGATTCAATCCCTGCTTTAAAAAAATCTCCTATTAGAGATTTGGGTCTAATTTATACTTTTAAATCTTATTAAACTGTTAACCTTGGCAAACATGTGGCTTTGAAAAATCTATAAACTCAATTTTTAATGAAAACCTGCCTTTCTGAGTCCATGTGCAAATCTCAGAAAAGAAGATTTTACAGCAATAGTACGTAATTCACAAGCTCCTGAAAATTGATTGTTCAGCCTTGCAATGATGGATTTTGGCCTGATGTTTGCATTATACACTGAGCGTGTATTCCTGTACCACATTTATCTAAATGAAGGCTGTATTTAAAAGATATTGTTCTGTTGGAAACTAAATGGAATGCATTTTAATAATATGGGAAAGTAATGACCGACTGCCCTATTCTCCATTGACTGTGTTCATGCATTCAGAAAAGATTACTGGAGTATATACCAATAAAAACCTTCAAAATATCAAACACCTGTTGGTTTCAGCTTGTAAGTCTTTCTGACAAAAGACTAGTAAAGCACAAGTCAGGGCAAAAATTTTGGGGAGCCACAGAAAATGATTCTGATTTCAAAAATTGGTTTTCATCAATCATTTAATCAAATTATATAGAAAATACTATACTGTTCTATATTTAGCTTCCTTTGCCCCTAATACTTCCACCAAATTAAACAAACATACAAACAAAACCCAAAACAAATCTACTAGCAAAAACCGACATTTAGAGAATTTTGGTAAGATTATGCCAAGCATCACAAAATTAAGACACGTTCAAACAGAACATGCTCTTGAAATAGGGAGCATTACTTTGCATGCTTGCTAAAATATGTAGTTTGATAGGATCAAATTCTTTATTCCCTCCATGAAGTCCTGTGGTTTCTAGAACAAGACTAAGAGAATAGGCAGCTGTTCAATAGAGGGGTTCTGTCCTCATTCGCTGTATGCTTTCCTTTGTGGTTTATTGTCTTCTATTCAGCTCAGAAGGCGGAACTGTTAATTTCCTTATAAACACTTACCACTTGTATATGTGTTTTGTAGACATTAACGTATCTTACAAACTCAGCTCTGAAGTGAGGAGTGCCATCATTATCATTTAGCACATCAACAGCTGCAGTACAGAAAAATTAACGTGAATGTAACCATTAGCATATGTCAGAATTTTTGGAGTCCCCAGGGGATCCTGTGGATCTTCCTTAACATTTACCACCTTGGTCTACTGTGCACTGTATAAAGAAATTATTCACTTTAGATATTCTTTTAGAATAAGTGGTATCGGGGCATGGTTTTTGGTATTGCTATGTCTGTATGCAAAGGACTGACAAATTTTTTTTCTCTTTCAAATTTTTGATGACTATATTTTCCAGCAGTATTTCTTACAGTCCAGCTGTTTTGTTTCCTTCTTTGTTTTTCATGCCACTATGGGTATTTATTATAAGTTTTTATATGGATTTATTCAGATAGCAACTGCATAGATACTACTACTGAATACATTTTTTTCTCCGTAGCACAAATATTTTTTTTCTTTCTTTTTTCTTTTTTTTTTTTTTTTAATGAGTATGCACAAAAATTTCCTATTTTATTAGGCTGTCTAGTAACAGGTCACCTTTTCTCTGTTCATTTGACTGCTCTGTTGACTGTTACAAGACACTTCTATTGAAAACTACCTGTGAAGAAATGTGAAAGTTCCTCTGAAAATGTTGAGAATAATTAAATTATAGTCTTTAATATCTGCCATCAGTGAATGAATGGCTTGTCCATAAACTGACGTAAAAATTAGTCTGTTTTGTTAACTAATGGGTATTGTTTACTTTTAAGCTTGATGCTGTGAACTATTTTACCAATAGGTACAAAACTACAAGCCAAGTGCTAAATATTTACTTCATTAATTTTCAAAAGTCCCTTGAAAGTTCTTGCATCCTTTCCTGACTTTCAAAGTTCTATTAATCAAAAATAGGCTGTGTCGTGGGTGACAGCTATGACCCTAAGGAAAGAAACTGGACACTCACTTTCCAGCAGGTAATAAATCAAAAGTAAAGGAAGATTTTTAAATTCTTAGAAATTTGAGACATTGACACACACTTGAGAAATATGACCACTCTGGGTTGGACACTTTATTAACACATTAATAACTGAGTAACAGATTAGTGATGCAAAATGGATTACTTTCTTACCTAGCAGCAACTGTTCTATGATTTCAACATATCTTTCATGGATTAAGAGGTCTCAGTGCTACTGTTTACATATTCTTGTGAAAATTTGTAAATAAAGTGTTCATTTGGTCACTATCAAAGAAACATTTAAACCACACTTCAGTATAACCTAGACACTCAGAATTCCTGACTTCACTAACTAATGTTTTCCTTCAGAACTGAACCTTTATATCATGTGAGATAGATGTAATATGAAAATTTTCTCTTTTCTTCTTCTTTCACTTAGGCATTTCCTGGAAATACGAACTCTGATAGTGTGGTCCGGCATGATTTACAACATGCGGTTATTGCTCGCTATGTACGGATAGTTCCTTTGGACTGGAATGGAGAGGGTCAAATTGGGTTAAGAATTGAAGTCTACGGCTGCTCCTATTGTAAGTTTTTCCATGATCATACTTTCCCCCCCCC